AAGTATTGAATTTTTTTTAACTTGCCTTTTATATTATTTTTTTAAAAAAAAAAACTATTTTAATTTTCTAGATAGTTTGATTTAAATAAAATTTAATAATTATATATATCCAATTTGAATTATATCGGGTTTGATCCAAATCCAATTTGAATCTAATTAGATTTGATCCAAATCTGATTTGAATTCTATAATTTTGTAAATTTAAAATTCAATTCGATCCGAATCCAATCAAATTAAAAATTTTGGAATTTGATTTGATCTGATTCATATCCAATTTATATCCAATTCACGGATCAATTAGATTTGGATCAAAATTGTGAACACTACCAAGAACCTTAAAAGGCTGAAATCCAATTTGACTGTAAAGTGTGATGAGGGATATAGGTAATTTGTAGAAATAGATTATAGAATTGTTCTGTAGTTTATTACAGTAGAATTTATCAAAGTAGCAATACGACGAACATTGCACCTCCGAATCACAAAATTTTCAAGAAAATAAATACACGATTGGTATAAAATTTGTATTTTACTGTTTGATTTGAATCAGCCGATCCGGTGTTTCTAATCTTGATGGTTCCGATTACTCAGCCCAAAAAGTGAAACACCTAAAGTCGCTCATTCATTATAGCCTCGTGATGGGTGCACAAGCGAGACCTCGGTAAGCTTTTGATCGGAAAATAATATAAGCAAACAGATGAAGCACGAACACTAATGACATTTCTCTGACATCGTGAAAATCTAAATAGTAGCCCGTAATGAAGATGATCATCTAATTTCCAATTTAATAGCTAATCGTTCACGTGCCAGGACAAAATCGATTTTCTTGTTTTTTTAATATGGATCCAATTGCAAGAAATAACGTCAATTTGAACGTATTGCGTCGACACGACGAGAAAATTGTCGAAATTGTTGATAGTTCAAGTTATGTGGTTGTATACAAATTTGATCATGAACAAGCCGCGTGGGTATGTTTAAAGATGTTGAGTACAATTAGCACCTTAAACGCGACTTACTCTCTTTTCGGGAATCCTAGACAAAGAAGGGAGTCGAAGGCACAATGTTCGTTTTTAAAAGGTCAGTGATTTTTAATAATTTTCGAAGTCTAAATTTATTTATATTTACCTTTTCAAGATTATTAGATGCGTACAACCCATATATGGATTTATAGTAATGAATCGACTGGGCATCGATAATTTTATGGCTCCTCTAACAGACAGCATGGAACTTGAATTTAAGGATGACTACATCATCTATCGTACTGACGATGGTAAGAATTTTGGTTCAGTATTGCACAGAATTTGCCATTCAAACAGAAACCCGGTAGTATCCATGTGTTTGCACGTCAGATGATATCCATTGTATTTGGGTGTTCGAAAAAAAGGATAAAGAGAGAATAGGGAAGACACTGCAAGAGTAAGTTGATTTCATTGAACTCAGTCATTTTATTAAAAACCTTATGGATAAAATGTATCCACGATATTGATCTTTTGATTTTATTTTATTTTCTGCAGATGTCGCGAGTTGTCAAAAACAGTCGAAGTACCATCACAATTAGAGTATGTAGCATCAAAATCCTATGGTAAACCGATAAACATTGGCGATCTTCTACAGCAATCAGAAGTAAGCCAAACGAATGGTGGTAGCATAATTTCATCGCCTCAGCGGAATCTACCATCGCACGAGTTGTTTCCGAGTTCGTGGCAAACTCCTTCACAAACGGTAATATGTCTACGACAATGCCTTTGGATATAATTCGAACTTTATTGACATTGCGTAAAATAAATTACGTAGACTTTACACGGTACATCAAATAACATTTTAGATGGAAAAATACTTTTAGATTTGCTTCGACAGCCCTCAGATGTTCCAAAGGAAACAACCACCTCAAACCCATATATATCTCCAAAGTCAATATCACAACGGCACCCCTCGTCGTCCACTGAAACGATGCCTCACGACAAAAATTCGAGTTTCCCATTTTCCAACAATCAAGGTGATTCAAATGCTAATACGTTGGCTACGTCATTAGCCTTGTTTGGAACAAGTAGCCCTGGACTACAACGGTCACAGGTTCTGGATGCTTCCATTGCATCTCTTCCGACGTTTTCTGATGGGAATAAAAAGATATTGAGCAAGACCGAGTTCACACAAAGATATTTACATTTAATTCAGGTATGAAATGGAGTGATTATTCATTGTAATCATGAACCTACTTACTTATTATAATGATATGGTACTACAGTCTGACCCATCCTTCATGGATATCCTCTATCAAAATTACATTGTTAAAACTCAAGAAAATATGTAAAGTGGGCCGTGATCGGGCTGCACGTTTCGGTACGACGACTGTACTTAAAGCAAGACTAGAATGTTGTTTTTTCAAGAGTAACAATAAAAAAGAATATCTAATGTCGGACCCTTGGCGCCTTTTCCTTTTCGGCGGTCAAACATAATATGTATTGCAAGTTACCATGATGATTAATTTTTGGTGTGTCATTTTGGCTAAATATGTTCCAATTCGAGGATAAATAATTTAAGATTTCTATAAATTATTTGCATAGCGAAACTCGGTATAATGCAGTATATACTGCATATGCATATACTATACATACAGTATATACAGTATATACATATATATTTTTTTATTTAGATATTTTATCTGCTAACAATTAAAAAAAAAATATATATATATTTTTTTTAAAAATATATCCATTGTTAAATATAGTAATTATTTAAAATAGACTAGCTTAAAATGAAAGCCATGTTGGCACAAACGGTGTTAATGTTGTATCATACGACTTTTCCAAGCCACTGTCATAAATTTTGTGTTGAACGCGAATTTTCAATTCCGAAACCTAAAGAAATTATGAGTTGGTATAAGGCAGTAGCAAAGTTCTTGGCAATTACTATTGGAAAAAAAGTATTCTTATTAGGTATTTCCAAAGTGTTTGATGCCGTAGAACTCCAAGCACAGGTATTAACTTTATAGTTAAATTAGTAAGTACCACGGAACCAAGAATGTTGTTATCTCTGACAGCTTCTTTCTCTTCCAAATGGTCATCTTCGATCCTTTGTAGTCCTATGGTATGTTTACGTAGCAAAGGGTTTGTTGTTTTTTGTTTGGCAACGCGCAGTAATAGGCTTACAAATACTTGAAACACACACCTACAGGAATTCCACACATATATCGCAGGACACTGGAGATAAATCGAAAGATCGTTCGCGATCATCACAGACGAAAAATGACAGCCAAATGGATTAAGCAAGGATTTTTAATGCCCAACAAAATAGATTCCCTCTTGGGCCTGTCACCGACACCAATGTCAACCACGACGCGGGCATCAACACCAGCTTCAACCTTAACGCCGACCCCGACTTTAACACCAACGTCAACCTCAACGTTGACACCGAATTCAACGTTAACGTCAACGCCAACTTCAATGTTAGCACCTAATTCAGCGTTGAAACCGACGCCAACCTCAAAGGTAACACCGACGCCAACCTCAAAGTTAACACCAACTCCGGCATCCAAGTTAAAATCAGAATCAGCATCGACGCTAACATCGCTAAGATTTCCTACCGACGCAACGCCCCCGAAGACGTCCACCCCACCAGCATCCACAGAACCCCTTCGTCGTCGTTAATTATTTCATAATTAAAATTTATCGGACTTGATATTTATTTATTCATGCTCGTATTCTAGAGACTTGTGTTCTTCACAAAGGTTTCTCGAAATAAAAATAAACCAATCTCATACCGAGTTTAGAATGTGCCTTGCATCCTTTCATAAGCCGTTGAAATTTTTGGAATGCACGTGTCAATATACGCTTGCACTACTTAAAAGAAAAATTATTCTATCTCTAGAAAAGAATAGTCATGTATGTAGAATGTGATGTCAAACTATTATCACTCATGATAAACCGAGTTCAAATAAACAAAAAAAACCAAACTAAGACAATCATAGTTCACTATTGGTGATGTGGGGTAGAAATTAGGTCATAAGCATCCCCAATTTTCGAGACTGATCCCTCGATTTCGTTTGCCAACAAAGATTTGCGTAGAAGCTCGATCATTCTATTCGGAAGTTCGAAAATGGCGTAGTGTTGTTTAGTTTTAGTGGGATCACCCTTTTTTGGTGGAACAAGATTAAAAAAATTTATACTCGATTGAAAAAAAGTTTTCTCCGGGTTCTGTTTTTGCTCAATTTTCTGCTTCGACTTGCAGAACATATATATCTATAATTTCCTTCTCTGCAAGATTACTGTCCCCGTAAACTGCCTGCTATACATTCATATTCTAAATCAAGTACTCCAATATGCCCATTCCGGAAATCGAAAATTCGAGCATTGAAAGTGAACAAATTAAACAGCACCACGGAGAAATTATCTACGAGCCTGATGGATTTCTTACCAAAATTCATCGAAAAGACAGCCAGTTGAATCGAAGAATAGTCAACACCTATACTGGTATGTGGAAGGAGGACGGAACGGATTCATCGAGCAAAGATGAATCGATCGAAAAAAGACGCGAGAATGCTCAGGAGATGACGAACGCGTTCTACGACATTGTCACCGATTTTTATGAATATGGTAAGTGTGGTAGTGTCGAAAAAAGTTGAGACCGAAGAATCGCTGAAATTCACATGAATCGATGCAGGTTGGGGAGAATCTTTCCATTTCGCTCGCACCTGCAAGGGGGACACGTTTGAACAATCCATCAAGCGTCATGAACAATATCTCGCCTTGAAACTTGGGTTAAACGAGAAACACACGGTTCTCGTAAGTTCAAATCATGTAGATCACCGCCAATCTTTGTGTTAGTATTGAACCTGTTGCTGACTGTTGTTGACCGGGTAGGATGTTGGATGTGGTGTTGGAGGTCCAATTCGCGAGATTGCAAGATTGACAGGCTCCAATATTACCGGCATTAACAACAATGGGTATCAGATTGAAAGATGCAAATTCTACTCCAAGAAATTGGGACTCGGTGAAAAGACCAACTTTATAAAAGTAATTAATTTTACGAAACACGTTTTTATTCACATGCTCCCCAGTTTTCGTCGACAGATAATTGATCGTGGTTTTCGTTTGTTGACCAGGGTGACTTTACAACAATGCCATGTGAGTTCAACGGTAAGTTCGACTCCGCATACGCGATCGAAGCCACGGTTCATTCCCCGAAACTTGAGGCGGTCTACGGTGAGGTGTTTCGTGCTCTGAAGCCCGGTGGTCACTTTGCCACTTATGAATGGGTCACCACACCGAAATACGACGCAAATAATCCGGAACACGTTCGCATCGTACGCGGCATCGAGGTTCGCGACTATATACTTTGTATCTTGAGGAAGAAAAAATTCTTTTCTTCAAACGCCATTTTAATCAATGGTCCCCAATTTTAATATTAATCAGGAAGGTAATTCGATTCCTTCCTTGAGTTCATACAAACAGGCGCTCGATGCTGCGAGGAACGTTGGTTTCGAAGTGCTCGAGCACGAAGATTTGTCCATTTTATCCGAATATCATGAACCCTGGTACTCCACCTTGAAGGGGAGCTTTTCTTTGACCGGATTTAGGATGTCCCGTATAGGAAGATGGTATCTACCTGAGTATATTGATTTCTTTTCATTCGATCCGTCCGAGGTCACTGAAATATGCTTTATATTTTAAAGGGTAACTCACGGGTTCGTGTCTTGCCTCGAATTTCTTCGCATTGCTGCACCCGGTTCCTCTGACGTAGCAAGTTTCCTCAACAGCACAGCCGACGCTCTGGTAGAAGGTGGAGAGACTGGAATCTTTACCCCAATGTTCTTCATCCTATTAAGAAAACCTAATGATGAATTATAAAAAAAAAAAAATTTTTTTTTAAACAAACAAACGTTATTAAATAAAATTGAAGTTCATTGTCGAACTTTAATATCAAAATCGTGCATTGCCCGTGACAGACAGTCTACATTTGGAAATTCCGTCATGACAATTTTTGATTATCTACTGCCCGAAAAAGATTTCGGTAAGCCACGTAAGTATGTACAAAAAGCCACTCCAACCTTGAGACTTTGAGAAAAGTTACACCTTCCCCTTGCACACCTTGAATGGCCTCCGAGAGTGAAAAGGAGAATCTGGAAATAGGGTTGATAGGTTTGGGGGATATGGGTCTGATGTATGCCGAGAGGATATCGAAAGCCGGGTGGAAAAGGTTTGCGTGCATGCGTGTGCATTAAATCGGATGGTGCAGAAAATAATTCAGTTGGTTTTATCGAATCTAGAGTGAATGTATGTGACCTACCCTCAAACTACGATCGTTTAAAAGAACAATTAAAAGGTTAAGGAAAATAATTCGACATTGCCAAATCATCTCGACTTTTTTTTTTTTTTAAGAAATAATAAAATAAAAGATTATCGACAAAAAATAAATTTAGATACTAGTCTAAATGTTCTCCGTGATGGCTATGCTGTATCAAGGAGAAGTGACTTCATAATTTATTCTGTCGAGGCCGAGAATATCGATAAAGTGGTCGCACTTTACGGACCTTGTAAGTAGAAGTCGGTCGTTGTGAAGTTATCGTGGAACAACAGTCCACTCTAAATTGAAATCATTTTGGTAGCGACTAAGCTTGGTGCCATTGTGGCCGGCCAGGTAATATCACTGGTTACCTTCTCTTCCAGGATCAACCGAGAATTTACAAATTTTTGATCAATCAGACATCGGTGAAAGAGCCCGAGATAAAAGCTTTCGAGAAGTATCTTCCCGAAGATGTGCATATAGTTTCATGTCATTCTCTACACGGACCCACCGTAGACCCTCGGGGGCAACCACTGGTTTATATCTATACTTTCCATTTTCCGGAAAAACCCACCTTTGTCACGTGATATTAATGAGTCTGTTTATGAAAAGGTCATAATCAAACATCGGGCTTCCCAAGAAAGATTTGACTTAGCTGTTCGCGTGTTATCGTGCTTGGAGTCTCAAATTGTCGAGTTATCATACGAGGAACACGATCGTATTACCGCAGATACCCAAGCTGTAACCCACGCGGCTTTCTTGAGGTATGTGTGCGCTTCAGTCCGTTTAGAGTTCAAAATTGTACTCACCAATTTAATCATTTCGCAATTTAATGTGAACCATCAAGCATGGGCACCGCTTGGAAAACTCAAAGACAATTTCCAGTGAGTTCAAAGATCACGATTCGCCTTGCTGAATGGAGGCACTAATACCTTTACTCCCCATTGACAGTGGGAAGTGCCGCAATATACAGGCGGTATTGAGAACGTCAAGGTTCTCATGGCATTGAGAATCTATTCGAATAAGTGGCATGTTTACGCCGGTAAGACCATTCAACATCATCAACATTCAACCTTTGATATTGAATTGTGACTTGATCTTTTAGGATTGGCGATCATGAACCCAAGCGCCCGATCACAAATCAAGCAATACGCCCAATCCGTGTCAGATCTATTCAAACTAATGATTCAGGAAAAGGAAGAGGAATTTACGAAACGCGTGAAAATGGTAAACACGTGCATTGAATGTCTGACGTGTGACTTCCACTCACACACAGCTACTTATTCCTTGACACGCGAAATATAGGCAGGCGAATACGTTTTTGGCAAACCTACCGATTCGCCGCGAGAACCGATGCTGCTATCAGATTCCATCCTAGATGAATTCTCATTGTCAAGCGTTCCGAAGGCAAAAAGAAAACCAAATTCACATTTATCATTATTGGCGATGGTCCGGGTTATGTAAATTCATTGGTTCATTGTTGAATTAACGATGAAAACTAAAAGAGAAACTTTTCTAAAATTGAAAGGTGGACTGTTGGCATAGATCTAATATCAATCCGTACGAGCATATGGTGTGTCAGACCCCACTATTTCGACTTTGGACGTAAGCATTTGCATCATATGTGCAACCAATTATAATTTTTCTTGGGATTTGACTTATTAAATAATTATACTCGTTAAAGAGGCATCACCGAGTATTTATTTCGTAACTCGGAAATGTTGGACGAGGCCATCAACGCAGCACTTTACAGCAAAGACATCCGAGCAGATGATATGGAATTCTATAGTGCATCTAAAGGATGGGCCGAATGTGTTGAAATTGGTAGCATGATAACATATCAAAGACGTTTCGAAGATACCGCCAAATTTTTTGAACCCAGGTATCGCCCATCATTCATCTTTGTTTTCGTTTTTGTTATGCGCATGATAATAAGTTGCGTATGTTTCTTATGTTAGGTTTTCCGAAAGCAACGTGGTTGGGGCGAGGATGATAAAAGTCATCGTAAATAAGATGAACAGGTAACGTATCAAGGGTTGCAGATAAGTTGGAAAGGTGATGATGATACAGATCGGCCATCCATTGTTATTACCATTCAGTGAAATTTTATTAAAGAGAGGATAGGAGAATAGGCATATAAAAGAATAACTTTATAAATAAAATAGGCACCCTTTACACGGAACTTGAATTAAATCGTGATTGAATGAGACAAATTACTTTTTTTTTTTTTTAACCCTTCGTTAGGCTAGTTTCGTATGCTTTCTTAAATAATTGTATGCTGTATATAAATTCATGTATTGCTAAAGCTAATTCTTTAATTAACTCACTCATCTTAATTTACAAAACTCTAAGTGCAACTACTGGAGTTCCATTAACAGGTCAGGTGAAAGCCCCTCCACCTACTATATCATTTTCTGCAGGTTACTATTGCAGATCACTTTATTTTTAACCTACAATCATGCTATCATGGCATGTCTTTATTGAGATATTAAAATAACATCTACAATATTGCATAAACTTTTTTTTTTTTTTAACCTGCAATCATGCCACGATGACTTGTCTTTATTGAAAAATTGAAGTAAATCTACAATATTTTATAGATTTTTACAACATGACTAACTCGTCTTCATACAAAAATACTCTAAATCAAATTTTGAGGACAATATTACACTCCCCCAATAGATTGGTAATAACCTCTATCTACCAGAATCATTGTCAACAGTTTGTCACTGTTGATTGCCCGAAAATCAATGAATTGCTAAGTTAAAAAGGGGAAAAACGATTGGGGAAAGAGAACAATTCAAGGTCCATCAAAAAAATTCAAAAATAAAAACAACCTCTTCTCAAAAGGAATCTGCTTGTTTGGGATAGTCACTTGAATCTCAGAAGAAATCTTCTTTTTCATCACCTGCGGTATTAGACAAGTCAATCCAACTGATCTTTCATTT